TATATATATATATACACACACACACACACACACACACACACACACACATTTGAAATTTATGAAGTCATTCTTAATGATATAAACAAAAACAAGTTTTATGGGCTTTCAAGGAACTCATTTTTGTTAGTGGTTAGTCTTGAATGGAAACGCTACAAGCCTGCTGGTAGGATCTATGAGAACTAAGCATGTGCACACTCTATGACAAGGCAATTCTTTCAGCTACACATATCTGATAGAAATATGTATGCACGCCCATGAAATATACACGCTAGACATTTTATTACAATACTATTTGCAAAACTCCAAGCAGGAAACTACCTGGATAGCTGTCAAGGAATAGGACAGATAAGCTGATTTTGGTACAGTCTCACAAGGCAACATGAGTCAGCAATGAAATGAATACTCAACAAACAATAAAAATGAGTTTTCAAAATATAACGTCCAAAGAAAGAAGCCGGATGCAAAAGAGAATGATTCCACTTGTAAAGAGTATAGAACTCAACAGCCCTAGGCCCAGGCTTGTGCATTGCTACAAGTCAGGAAAGCAAAGACTCTGGTGGAATGGCTAGTGGCTAGAGGGGAGCAGACGCTGGGGACTGACGGCATGACGTCTCAGGTTGTGAAAGCCCATGTACATGTTAATTTACCTGAGTAAAAAGGAAAGACGGGGGATGGAGCAAGAAAGCAAAGGCAATACCTGTGAAGTGAACTATTCTGTATAGGAGAGATGCTCTGTGCATCTGCTTTGTAGGAGAAATAATCTGACAAGAAAGACAGTTGAAAAGAAACTACAAAATCCCTAGCAGGAAGAAGCTGGCCCTTCCTGTAAATCACTGATTGACGCCAACCCAATATATTCTCCAAAGCAGGCATTATCTCATTTTCTTTTTTGGGGGGCAGATAATGGAGGTGGGTACATTGAGCTATACCTCCACTGAGCTATACTTGTAGTCTCTAGTTCCAATAATTCTTTTTGGGGGGAGACAGAGTCTCCCCCAGCTGGCCTGGAACTGCTATGTAGACCAGGCTGGCCTTGAACTCACAGAGGTCGCCTGCCTCTGCCTCCCAAGTGTTGGGATTAAAGGCTTGTGCCTTTAATCAGCTCAATCATTCTATTTTTTAACTTAAAATATTTATCTATTTTTATTTTATGTGTATCTATTTTATTTTATGTGTATCTATTTTTAAGTGTATCTATTTTATTTTAGGTGTATCTATTTTTATTTTATGTGTATGAGTGTTTTGCCTGCATGTACGTAAGTATATATACCATGTGTGTGCAATGTACACGGAGGCCAGAAGTGGGCATTGGATCCCCTGGACCTGGAGTTATGGAGAGTTGTTAGTCACCATGTGGGTGGGTGCTGGGAACCAAATCTAGGTTCTCTGTAAGAGCAGCCAGTGCTCTTGACTGCGGAGCCATCTCTCCATGCCCAGTTATTATATTTTTAATGGGTCTGATTGTTAAAATGTTCCCCTTTAGTTAAAGGGAAAAAAATCTGCTTCCCAATTTGAGTTTATAGTTAATGAACATGAGCTGTTTAGAAAATCCTGCTGTTAACTCATGTATTACCCACCCATCTTCTCAAAGTGTGGATGTGTTTGGGAGCCAAATGAAGGAGTTACTTACTACTTCTTTAAAAAACTTCACTTTGTTAAATTCAGCTCTTACACAGATATAAAGGACAGGTAAATACTCTATAATGGTACAGGAGTGTGTGTATAGGAAGCAGTCATGCTGCTAATTTCTAAAATTCCTATGCTGGATTTTACTTGGATGAGGCTATAGTTGTTTCTGTATTATATTTATTTAAACATGATTTCAATTTCCAGGCTTATGAACTTTATTAGAAGAAAAAGGCCTCCTAGTTCACACTATGCTATCAATGTGTGATTAATCTATAGCTAGAAGGTACAAAGTAAACTGCTGTCAATTCAAAGAGCAACATGGCCTTTTAAAGTCTTCTTAATGTTGAGATAAAATAATTCTTCTTCCGCCTTAAAATA